TATGAATATTGTCTGTTGGAACTGAACATGAATTGCAGTGTGCAGTTTTCACTGCATAAAGACATCTCACTAAATATGAAAAGCAAAGGTTTACATGTGTTTATCACTCCTAAACATATAAAAGAAACAAATTTTCAAGTACTACTGGAGATATTGGTTCATAAGTTTAACATCAGTTTATTACATTCAACTAATTGATTGTTTTAAATGGTTAAAACAGAACATGTGTTGAGGGTCTATTAGTAAAGTGGCCTCCCTTGTTAATAATCAAAAATAATTAATTCCACTGATGTGGTGATGCTTTGTTTCTAGGTTCCCATGGCAACGTGTCAGAGGAAAGCTCACGCAGCTCCCAGGATGGTCTTGATGGACTCCATGGAGATTTCAAGCAACACACGGTGGCCCGTCGGACTCAGACAGCACCTTGCGTCCCCAAGTGCAGAGCCCACCCCCCGGTCACTCGAGTGTGTGCAGGTCCCAGTGTAGAGAAGGGGCGATCCCGCCTTCAGACAAACATTAACCCCTCTGTGACAACCCACCTGAACAGCACACAGGTCTCTCAGCGAGCGAGCGGACAAGGGGTCAACGATGRCCGCTGTCCTCCTCCGTATAGCGCTCACCACAGACTGGCGGGCTCGCAGACTTCCCCTCAGCTCGCAGCGCCTCAAGCGAGGTCGAGCACCACGCAGAACGACTCAGCCTTAACGAAGGAGGCACGGATGGTGCCACAGAGTGCAGAGTGGCGGGACTGGCAGCGGGATCGGTATCAGATCTGGCAGCTGCTCTCCTCAGACAATGCTGACACACTGCCGGAAACACTGGTGTGATCTCAGACCACCAGCTCCTCTTCAGTTTCTGTGGAAATATGGCGTGATCAAAGCCTTTTAAAGACAACCGCTCCTCGTTCTTATCATTTCTCTCCCCCTGGCTTGTCTATACTTGCACTTCCTATTTTTGGTAAAGCCGCAATTCTCTCCTGCATCTTATCACGATGGTGTTGTTTACATGTGCAGCTGCTGCCTCAACCAGAACTATTATTTTTACATCGTAGAGCCACAAGTAACTTTGGTTTGTAATGATTTGAGCTTTTGTTGTCTGTGTTGTTTTATTCATCATGACCATGTGTTCAGAGCATTAGAAAAAAGAAATGCCCACTAAATATACCTCAGTAAAAATATATATTTTCATAACAGTAGATGTTTTTTTTCTTAAAATCAGTTTGCATTGCTTCTTTGCTTAAAAAACAAACTCTTTCTACAGTTTTTATTCAACTTACAGACTAGGATGTACACATTGGTAATTGCTGCTAAACAAAGACTTTGTGTCCAAACTATTGTTGTATTATTTACAAAAAAGGACATTTTTTAAAGTACTTTGAAAAAGTATTCACACTCAAACTTTGTCTATTTTGTCTGCTTACAACCAAAAACTTCTAGTATTTTATTGGGAAGTTGTGTAAAAAGCCAACATAAAGCAGAGCTTGTCTATGTAGTAGAAAGAAATGAGAGATTCAATTTTTTTTAATACAAACCTTTATAGTGTTGTGTAAATTTGTAGTAGGCCTTTCAAGTTTTAGTTTAATTGCAGCTTCACATTTTTAGGGGTATTTACTAGAGATCGACCGATACAAGTTTTTGAAGGCCGATACCGATAGTTTTTTTTTATATCAGTCTAACCGATACGCTGATACGTGCAGCTGTTTKAATTTTTTTTGGCCGATTCTTGAAGCTGATACTGCCTTTCCTTTCTCCATTAACATGATAAAAATAAGACTGATAACAAATGTTACACAGGTCTCAATTTAAAACAAACAAATAAAACCATTTATTAACCGAGCCTTGTCTGATGCAGGCYAYRTGAAGTGCTGCCACACAGGATTTCTTCTTTCAGCCCTTTCTTAAAAAAAATTAAAAATAAATAAATTCATGATTTATTTTATCTAGTGTTAAATATTCAGTTTTTATTTGTTTATTTATTAGATTAATAAATTTTTACATAAAATAAAATGAGTATGTTTTAATTTTCTAGCATTTTTGATGCAAAACCAGCAACAGGCCTAAAGAAAACTGTCAGAGGAACACAGAGGAAAAGGATAGACACACACACATACAGCTTGCTATCTTTGTGAGGACTTCACACATGCAGCGCTCACAGTCTGCCTCAGTCTCCTCCCATTTTTTACACCGGGCAAAAAATACATTTAAACCGGCTGACGTTAACTTTAGATCACAGTTTGAAATGTACGCTGAAGAAAACCTGCATCACAACTTTTATACTGCGGTCAGAGCAAACGTGATCTGAGCAGCGTCTGCCTGCTTTACATGTGTACATGGACGGCAGCTCTTTATCGCTCTTATGAACGGAACAGTGAGAAAAGACCAAGATTTTTATTTTAATCCAGCAGGGAGAACAATACAGGTGTTCTTCTATGCCTCCCATGAGCAATTCCAGTATTTTTTAAAAGAAAAGCARMGCGGACATGCTAATTACAGTCYGATGCCAAAGTGAAAGTAAAAACATGGCGCTCGCTGCGCTCCCGTTCGAACACAGCTGTTCTCCCTACCACTCATAGTCTGACACAGAGGGCAGAAACAGCTAAATTAGACATWAAAAACACATTAAAAGTTCATAACTCACCCTTATTATAARTGTCTTCAGTCGGAGGCTTCTTCAACTTCGCTGTAATACAGACCGCTACAGAAGATCTTTCCTGCCCACAGCCATCAGCATCTACAATAAGTTTTTAGTTAAATGAGTTACAACAACACCTAATTTCCCTCTGGGATCAATAAAGTATTTTTGAATTGAATTGAATTATTGTTGTTGCACTCTGTCTCACAACATTAGAAGCCGCTCTCTCCCCGAGGGAGGGGCGGTAACATGTGCTCACGTGACCCAAAGAATGGATCAGCTGAACGGACGGACGTATCGGCCGATACCGATACAAAGGAAAAACGTGAATATCGGCCAAAAATATCGGCCGGCCGATGTATCGGTCGACCCCTACTATGTACCTCTGAGTCTTCTTTTCAGATTACTTACCTTTTGCCCAGCCTGGAAGTTTAGGTGGACGGTTATGTTTTTGGTAGGATTGCTACCGAGCCAGATTCGTTCTATTTTCAGATAATGGATTGAACAGTAAGACGTTCAAAGCTTGGGTTGTTGTTTTATAACATAACTCCRCTTTACACGTCAACAGTTTTATCCCTGATCTGTTTGGTGTGTTCCTCTTCTCTTCATGAAGCTGTTGGATCACTAAACTCGGAGGCCTTCGGAAAACAGCTGGATTTAAACTCAGATTAAAATCACACACAGGTGTGCTCTGATCACATTTAGGTGACTTCAAAAAGGCAGCTGGTAAATAATGATGAATAAAAAATTCATTTCACACTCCCGATGGTTCAAAAGTTGTGAACTATGTCTAATATATGTACTGTTTTTGTATTGATATTACACATAATAACCAAGTAAAGTACTCTGAAGTTTGTGGTTGTAATGTGGCAAAATATAAACAAAAAAATTCAAGGAGGAAGTGTACTTTTTCAAGGCTTTGATGTCAAATACCATTGGACTGTACATTATACTCCAACTGTAAACAAATGTGCAGCAATGTTACATGTAAACTGAAGCATAAAATGTATCTTATTCCTCAAAGTATCTACCTAATTACATGTCAACCACTTCATTGGCAGTCTAGATTTTTAATTTAAATTTTTTTTTATGTTTGTGGTTTTGCCGCCTTTTGGACTGCAGGAGTAATGTGCCAAAACTTTTACGTCCATGTTTGTGTTTTAGTCAAACATTTGATTATTTCTGAACAGAAATTGGGTCTTTCTTTGTTTGTTTGATTGTTTTCCTCATTATGAGCATAAAACCAAAAAAATTACCAAAAAAGCAAAATACAGTATGAACATTAGGCATCCAAGACAATTTACACTTTGAAAAGTGCTGTATATTTATTAACCTTAAGCTATATATTGAATATTGAAAAGGTGGAAAACACTTTATTTWGATTTTTTTAAGGTTTTGACAAAAATAACAACTCAGAACTTACACCAAGATCCATCTAGGCTTATTAGGCTGCAGTTGTCACTTCTGATTGAGAACATTTACACCTTTCAATTAAATGTGTTCCCAAAATGTTTTTTTTTTTCTTTTGCAATCGGATGCCCATAAACTACGCCCTATGCAGCCACATCACACAGTGGGCTGTCAGAAAGCAGGTCTGCTGCTGTTTCTGTAAAAAGAACAGTACATTCATGCACCCAGACAATTTTGCTAGGCCACGGCCCAGATACCCAGGTCTCAAACCTGAGAAGAATTCTGAAAAACAGTTTATTGAAAATTGATGCTGTAAAAGCAAAAGCCAATTAAAATCCATATATTTAAAAAAATATTCCCAAGTTTGGTTCYTCATCTATCATCATCATCTATTTTTCTTAACCCCAAGATATCCAGGTAATATCCAGGTAATAGCTCTGCTGCTTGAGTGGTATCACATTAGTTTAATCTTTCGGCATCAGGTCTCAGGAGTGATTCATTCAGTCAAACTCAGACAAACGTACACAGATGAAAGCAGTTCAAATAACCTACAAATGGGGTTGGACTGAAAACACTTCAGCAGTGTCGGACTGCAGTCGATCATCCAGGACAGGTTTTGGTGACAGGTCTGAACAAAGTCTCAGTAATACAAACTGTGCATGGTTCATTTTAGTTTGGTCTTTTTTTTTTTTTTTTTTTTGCTTAAATCATGGTGCAAAAATCTTTATTTTCTGCAAGGAAAGTTTTTAAAACTGATTTTGTTCTTCACAACCACTATGTTTTATTAAAAGGTTTTATGCTCTTATAAAAAAAAATACTTTTCACATTTAAATAAATGCCAAAAAGACTATTACATTATATTGGTAAATCTGCCCTACTTTTCTTAAATGTCACATCCAAATTGATTTTTGCTGAAAAAACGATTCATCCTTTTCTCCAGATGTAGATGTTTTCATTGGTGGTGTGAAAGCTTCGAGAACGATAAAGGCAAAGCTAATGGCGCCATCTACTGGCAGAAAACAAACGTTAGCTTTTTGCCAGCTTCAGTTTWTTTGCCGTTTCTGTGGGAACCCTGTTGACTACCTGAACTCGGTTTTTGAAGCTTGTGATTAAAAGCACCTTCTGTTTAAAATAACAAAATAATAATACAAATCATTTAGGAAATAAGTGTGCCAAATAGGACCTACTCTTGGAAGCCCCCATGTGTTGTTACTCATTATTTTTATTTTTGCCTGTTGTGTATTGTAATATAAAATATATTTTTATCAATTTTTATTCGAAAAGATAATAAAAAAGAGAAAGTATTCCTACATGTAATAGTTAAATATCAGATGTGATGTCAGTTTTTGTCCTGCAGAATTCACCATGAAACTAGTGGAAACTTTTTTTGTGTTTTTCTGGTGGTTTTATTTCTGTGTTTTTGTTTGTTATTGCAGGTTCAACTGGGTCCAAGTTGTAAAGAAATGTTTGGTAACTGCTTTTGTACTGCTTGTCATCAACATTTGCTATGATTTTATTAAATATGATAAAGCATACACGTGTACAAGTATGATGTGGTGTTTTACAACTTATCGCTCACTGCCATCAAAAGTGGTGATCATGCATGTGCCTTGGTACACATGTTTTGTGTTCATTTGTCTGTTAGCAAAACATAATTCAGTGGGTCGATTTGAGTGAAACTCTCATAAAATAATTACTGAATGTAGTAGCTGATTATGTTTTGAAGTCAGAAGGTTTTAAGATGGACAGTTTGCCAATTGAACAATCAAAAACTAGTAATTTTTACAGATACTCAGGTAAAACCTGGTGTGGTAGTAGCTCAATGTCATCCACAGCATGTGCTCCAAGCCAGGGGTCGTATTTACCAAATATTTTCCATATGTATCTTTTTTTCTTTTAAGATGGAAAAATCTAAAGGCCGTCCATTATTTTTGACAGATTTCAGAGCATCAGATCATCATCTTAGACCTAGTCTGAAAACTTTGGCTGAAGTGGTGCATTTTTTAACGTTTTTTATTGGCTGCAGTTTACAACCATTAGAAAATGCCTCATTTCTCTCTCTACATTCAATGCAGAAGGAGGAGGAGAGAAGAAAAGGCAAAGATGCAGCCGCTGCCAATCAAACGCGCAGCATCGTGTTCTGCGTGTTAAAAATAAATATCTAAACACGTGAAAGAAAATGGATTTTATTTATGCAGAAAGTGATGGAAACTATGTCAAAAATTCAGCAAAATAATAACTGGAAAATACTTGAGGAAAGTGAAAGATGATTCTCAGAGAGAAAATTGCCAAACTTTGTTTTCCTGAAGGGAAACACCGTGAAGCAGCTGTCTGTAAACTTACA